TAAACAGGTCATTTACACTACCTCTGTCATCCTTGGGCCTGGGCCGCCCTCCACATGTTTAAAAAGCGTCACCGTTTATCAAACATATATATCATCTTTTATTTTAAGTTTTGCTGTGTGATTTGCAGTGGCATTCATTGCTTTCTGATGTTCTTTAGACTGATTGTGTCTTTTCACGCTGTATCTATTTTTTAACTGTTTACAATAAGAACATTCAATTCGTTCTTAAGTACCTGTATTTGCTCCTTATGTTCATGATATGTTTCATGTACTCGTTTATTTGTTGCTTATCACTTTGTCTATATCTCCATCTTGGGTTTATTTACATTCCTAATAGTCAGGCCTATGCACACCACATTCACTACATGTTGTAACATCAAGCATTTCTACCTAACATTATAAACATGTGTTTGCTGTCAAGGGTGTTTCAATTATCATAATCATCAGAAAATCATTCAAGCAGTCTTTCCATTCATCATTATCCATACTTGTCGTTTCGTGGTTGACATCTACACAAAAAAATCTCGGGAATGGTTCATAATAACGCAAAAAACTCGGGAACGTCAGGCAATACCACGCCCGAATCTCCGGAATACTACGCCTGAATCTCGGGAATGCCACGCCCGAATCTCGGGAATACCACGCCCAAGCCAAGGAGACTTAAACACTAGGCACCTTAAGAGGTATGGAGCCCGACCCCCTACATCTAGACTCAAAGCCTGAAGCCCTATATACTAAAATGGAAGATACACTAAAAGCATCCGTTATGAAATACGTCTTATCTTCAGAAATGAGTGAGATTGAAGTTAAGAATATAAAGCAAAACAACTAAAGAGAGTTAATGTAGACGGTAAAGAAAATCCATATAATCAATCAAAACCTTTTACAGAGCCTTTATCAAAGAAACTCCAAAAAATATCTAAAACGCTAGGTTAGAAACGTTTTGAAGGGCTTAAACGACGCTTCTAAAAAAATTATGGTTCGTCAAGCTTTAAAACGCTACGCGATTGAAGACAATGCATCAAGAACTAACCAACAATCGGCTTTAACAAATCTTATGCTAATTCTTATCCCATTTCCAATATCAAGCTTGCAGCATCTACAGGTTTATCATACCGTAAATCACTTAAATATCAAAAAGAACGCTTAAACGATTGTTTAACGGAACATGAGAGCGTGAAAGCTTTAAGAACAATTGATTTAGCATTTCCATATGTTGCTCAAGATATAGATGATGTAGATGAAGATGAAACACATACCATAGGAAGTAGAAGATACAATATCTTAAATGAAGAAGACTTGAAACAATGCAATAAATAACATGGCTAGTGATATTGAACTTTTGGCTGAAAACAACAACCTAAATAAATCAAGATTGAAGATAAAGAAAGTGGTCGAAATATCAACACATTATAGCACAGACAACCCAACAAGAGCAGTTAAATCTATTCTATAGAGGTACCCGCATGGATAGCAGGAAAAAGAGGCATGCCTCAATATTTGGAATGATAATTTGGTTAGGCCTTTATGGCAGGGTTAGGTCCTGGCTTCAAACTTCAAACCTGAAGCCACGCTCGTGAACAAGCTCAGAACAGACAAGACTGGCTGCCGACTGCAGGGATAGACTCGATGAATCACAACATCATGAGTGCCGAGGCCCAGGCACTAGAATCTAAGCCGCAGCTTCCTGGCATCCAGCTCGGATAGGCAATAGCGGACATTAGGGCTGTCTGCGGAGCGCACCACGCGGTGCCCAGCTGGCAGAGTGGCTTCTTGACTGTTGCAACCTCCAAACTGAGAGGAGCCAGCCCAAACAGTTGATGCACTAAGCCGCGGGCCCATGCTCCGTTCTGCATGCGGGTGGAAGTCACCTGCGTGTCTGCAGCGTCTGCATTGAAGGGCTTACGTCAATCGTATCCGCCTGGAAAGTCTCCTTTCCCTCCATGTCTGCACTCACCGGGCTGGATGGGAGCCTATTCACGAGATCAAGTCCAGGTCTTTCTATGTCTTTGCTACAGCATTAAGGCCCAAACCCCACGAAGACCAACCGCTCCACCGCGGTGCTCTGTTTGAAGCTGCCTCGCACACGCGAGACTCTGGGCCGGTGGCGGCTTTGAAGGCCTGCCGTGCCTGCTGCGCCTTTGGCAGCACCCGCCATGTGCAGTGTCTGCGCCGGCCTGTAGAATGCCAGGAGGGCGCTTCATGGCCAGGCCATTCAGCCACATGGCCACTTCTCTGAGCTAAGCGCTCTGAGACCAGCTCTTGGCCGTCGAAGCTGAGCTTATCGTAAACGAAGTGGCCCCGCCTGTCGATACAAAACACGGAGGACCCTCCTCCCTGCTGCAGTAACTTGCACGGTTTTGAGCTTCCGGACATGAAGTCGTGGCTTTGGCCATCATCCATGTACACATGGCCTGTTCATGACACTCCGCACCAGGCCTCATCGTTGCAAAGTCTGCAAGGCGTGCACTCCTTCCTGCCTCCTGCCTTTTCCCCATACACCACAATCGTGTACCTGCTGAAAATCACAAAATGGGAGTCTGGCGGCAAGCTGGCACAGATCTTGCAACAGCTAGGTTGCGGGTCGGAAGCCATCGCTAGGGAACTGCGACGGCGCCTCAAGAACGGGAAGCAATACTCGGTAACTCTTAGTCCGAAACCACGGCGGAGCTGAAGCCTCATCTTCTTTGGGAGAATCGCACCAGCCCTGACGTATACAGGCACCTTGATTGCAGCAATTAAAGCCCTCATGGGCCCATGGGCTATTTGCTTTAGAAGGCTTGGACACGCAGCTCTTCAGAGTTCTGTCACAGCTGTTTCAGCCTCCCACGTGCGAAGGGTCAGCCTGCAGGGAACAAGTGTTAGACTCTTAGACCTCTCTGAAACCCTATCCTGGGCGCCGAAGATTGACCCAAGGCCCCAGAAGCGGTGAGATACGGATGGCGCCTTGACCGAGTGCGACTTGCCTCCCACAAGCGGTGCGGCCTGCAGTCTTCTGTACATGCAGTGAAACATATCAAAAGACACAACGGGCCCCGCCTCCATGCTCCAGAAATCAAACCAGCTTCCTGACGGCCTTGACGTGTCCAAGGCTGAGACGAAAGGTCCGCGAGCCAGTCGCGCATCAAGGCCGTGGCAAGTACACGTTCAGAGTGTCTTCACCCCGCTTGGTAATTGCCCGCACGAGCACATCGCTCCCCAGCCTGTCAGGACAGCTGGGCAGCAATGCGTCGGCTCAAGCACACCACGAGCTCCCGGCAGGAAGTGTGTGTTTTGGTGGCGGAAGGCCTGGATATGCGATGCTTTCGAGGCTGCACTGCGATTGGCATCCAGACTGGGCCTCCGAATCTGCAGCATCCTCGAGAAACGTTCCCGGTGGGGCGGACATACTGGAATATGGAGGGATGCTCCACACAAAGTCCTGAAACCAAAGCGGCCGAAGGATTGGCTGCCCCGCCAAGGCCCATTGAGCGAAGAGAGTGTACCTCAACGATCGAGTAACTTCCGCGCTCTCGCTTCGTATATCGACCAGGCTCACCATGTCGGCAGCATCTGATATCGAACAGTGACCTGTTCACAGAGCATGGCAAGGCAATCTCAGCAGGTGCGAAAGTGTCTGGCGGGCCTGCTCACGCACATTTTCTGTGATCTCTTTGCCGAGCATCCACGGCTCGCGGCGCTTGGTCCTTGCTCTCACTCCCTGGGGGGAGGTTCGGTTGTTTCACCTAGCGGGTTCACTTTCCGGGGTGGTTGTTGCTGCTTTTTATGTCTTGTTGCCT